GGGGGGGGGGGGATTTAAGAAGGAATCCGTATTTTCTGTAGCCAAAGTTCCTGAAATCCAGATCTAATCTCTGATCGCTTTCCTCTTAATCCTCTTCGGATTCTCCGGCTCTGGCAACATTTCCTTCCCAAAAGCTCCGATTGCAGGCCGAGATTTCTGAGAGATCTCCCACCCGGTGTAATTACCCATTCGACGTTCCACGGAACTTCGGTTTTCGGCTGCGAGCGAAGGGCGGAGCGTCTGGCTCTTTCCGTGAAAACGTGGGAAAAACAATCGCCGGAAATGGCCTCAGAATGCCCGGATCCGAGTTTTTTCGTGATTCTGATGGATTATCACGATTATCACGATTATCACGACGTTATCAGTTGCCTCCTTCTTGAGAAGAAAATAGCATCGAGCATAGCAAGAAGGAGAAGCTGGCCTCCATTGCGAAATCGATGCATCGGGGAGATTTCGAAGTGCATCATGCATATGAGCGAAACACTCAAGGAACCTGGAAAAAAATTCTCTCCTCCCGGATCTCGTGCTGATCCGAAGCACGATTATCCTCCTTATCCTACCGGATGAGACGCGGCTTCTGTCAGGGATTGAGCCGGCAGCCCTCGATTCCATTATTTGTTTTGGTGAATTATGGACGATAATTGGCAGGGAGAACTGGGAACTTTAATTTCCGTCTGCAATATTTTTTTGCGGATAAGACAAAGGGGACTGAGAGGAAAATAGTATAAAAGCAAGGGGAAAGAAGTATCACACCCCCGAGATGCCAGGTATCGCAGAGCGATTCATCATTTGCATACTTCGACGTCTCCAATAATTTGTCACGTTTTGGTGACTGTAGTATCGCTCGTTCTAGGTGTTTATTTTTTTTTTTTGCCTTGTCTGATTGATTGGCACAGGATCTTCTGTTTCACGGATGCCTATTGCAACGGTACTCGCATTATCTGTTGAGTCCCGGACAGACTTTTCGCTGAAATTCTTGAGGGCGGGAATATTTCCTACCCCTTTTAACTCCCTATTGCAGATTGCATTATCGATTGCTCTCAAATGCCTTTATGCTTTACTTCGCTGTAAGTTGATCACTCCGAAAGCTTTCTAGGCTTTCCTCCGAGAAAGGAAAAAAAATTTTCTATCGTCCATTGAATCGTCTGGGTTGCTTCTTGTTTTTCCTGTTTTATTGACACTTGGTGAAATTCGCCAATTTGAGTGGAACGAAGATGCCATGAAGAACGATTCTTCATCATCAGAGCCTTTTCGGCTGATGCCTCAATGAGAAGTCTAAAGTACTTCGGTACTTTTCGGTACTTCGGTGTTCAAATGGCACCGCCTCTTCCAGAGCGGGAAAAATATTTTAAAAATTCCCTCTGGACGCCGTCTGACTGCGACGACTCGATCGAGACTTGAATCGATTTTGGTCGCTTAAAAAAAAAGAAGAAATATTCTCGCATGAAATATTCTCATCAGCCAATTTCAATGCTTGACAGAGGGCGCCAAGAAGAGGCGGTATCAGTTGAACACTATGGAAGGGGGATCTTGAAAGGAAGGATCTTGAAAAAAAAAACCTGGACGTTTCATCTAGGCAATTGTCAGGTGAGGAGGCTTTCCAACGGTTCTTAGAAATTATGGCACGAAGGTGATGAAATATTTCAAAATCGTTTTTCGCGAGACGTCGCTACTTGCTTCCGCTCGCAGTGCTTCGGTGTCACGAAGTGTCAACAGAGACTAATGAAACTTGGACGAGCTGGCCAATTTAACTACATTCAACAAAGGAGCAGGCTTTCATTCATTTATCTTCATTAAAGAGTTTTAAAATTTCAGAGGGAATTGATATAAATTATGAGTGTTCGACTCAAAAGATTGAGGATTTCTACTCATCAACTGCGGGCCGGACTTAGTTGGGCACAGTGGCCGACAGACCACCCACCTTCTCTGGCTGACAGGCCGACAGACCACCCACCTTCTCTGGCTGACAGGCCGACAGGGCAGGCGACGATGGCACTTACGCCGCCACCAATCATGGCGGGCCGCATGCGGCATGAGAGCCATATTTTGCTAATGCAAATTTCCCCCAGAGTGCATACTCCCTTTCTCCGCAGTTTCTCGGAAACGGCAACGGCGCAACTCGTTTCGACGGGAGACGAGAATGCCTCCACTTGACCTGCATTGACCCATTTTCTACCACCGACCCAAAATCGACCCCGAACATCGTGCCCTCATTCTGCAGCAAACAAACGAGGCAGCGCCCCACGACCGCACCTCGCGCGCCTGAGTGAAATTTCCGGAACATTCCAATTATTCTCGTCGGAAATTTCTACGATTTGGCTCGTCCGGAATGGCATGCGAAATGCTTCGCCGCACATCAGCTGCATGGAGACCTCGACGGACTCTGACTTCGATGAAAATCGTCAGAGACATCGCAGAATCCATTTTCACCAACCGCTTTTTAGCACTCCCCGGCATCTTTCACCGTCACTTCAACAATTTCCTGCTTTTTGCTGGTGGCAGAACTGGAACTGCGGAAGTGTTTCAGCTGTTTCTTTCCTTCCGATGAAGATAGAAATTTCGTCCTTGCGTCGCTATATTTGTGAGATTCCCCTCTTTTTAATGGTAAACCAACGTGATTTTTATTGACTCAGGAAAGCATTTTAAAAAAATTCTACTTGACCCAAGAGTTCCATCGACTTTTTTTTAACTTTCCAATGATAAAAAAAAACTCGAAACAGGTAAAAGCGAAAAAGTTATCGAGAAATTTAGATTAAATTTTGACATGATTATTACTGATGAAAATAGGATTTTAATTAAGACTGGTCGCATTCGGCCAATGGCCGATTACTTTCCCATGCCTATCGGTCGGTACCAGTGCCTATTGCGACGCATGAAGAACGCAGCAAAGAAGAACCTTAAAATCCAATATTTATTCAAATCTATTAATCTGTTATCTTATTTTCCTGGCTTTCACGCTGGGTGTTTCGGTAAACATCGAAGTATCGACCTGAAATATCGATAGTGCATCGATGATCCCTGGGGTAGGGGTGGGGGGGGGGGGGGGAAGAGCGCCCGCGGATTCAGTCTTTTCTCCCTGCGATCGGGCGGAGGTTTCACTTCATTCTTGCCTCGATTGGTGCGCGGACCTCTATCCGTATTCCATAATCTCTCACCTGTGATCGGGGAGTGCGGGGTGGGGGGGGGGGGGGGGGGGGGG